TCAGGCAAAGCAACAGCCAAACCCAATCCATATGGTAACCTTCTCTAGTTTCAGATGCCTTTATAATGTCTGATATTTCACTGTGTTTAAACTTTATATTGTTGTATGTCACAATCTTCCACCCTTTGTGATATCATGCAATTTTTTTTAACTGTATGATTGTCCCATTAAGAAATACATTCAGCAAACTTTCCTGTTGGCCCTGGGAGCCTCCAGTGTTCTGTTCATGGCTTCAGTAATTGTGTGTTGGCACAACTCTTTTCACAATGATGGAACAACTAAAGGTCTGGCTTTCACCCACAACACACTATAATTCCCTATTCAAAAGCTAAATTCCCTTTGCACAATTTGTAAATTTTTTTCATTACACATGCTGGTTACATCCCAGGGTGAATCAGTCAAATGGGCTCTAAATTAAAATAGTTGGCTGATCTGAGCCCAGAATCTGTTGCAATGCAGTTTTCTCACAGCTTGGAAGAAAACAGCCAATATAGCTACTATAGAAATAGGTGGTTATTCTCTCTGCCTGTCTTTTTCCAGGGAACTGAGTAGATGAATGTAGCCTAAAGTTTTAATCTTCTAGGTAATTAGCAGAAGTAGATGGAAAGGAAAGTCAATAAAGCTTGTGTCCCTGAATAGGTCACGCCAACAGTCAGGATGTCACTGTGAGGACAGGAAATCCTTAAATTAGAAGCATCATTTTAGGCTCTAATTTAATCCATAAACCAAAGTGTTTTAGAACAATACACACATGAGAATATTTCAGTGGGGCTGTGAACTTCACAAAAGGCACAAGCACAGGGACAAGAGGTATATTTGTCTTTTCTTGTGCCTTTTCTTGCCACCTTCGAAATAATCCATGATATTTTTGGAGGTTGAGAAAACAAGGCTTCAAAATCTCTGAATCAGACAAAATTCTGTGTTTTGTAAACAGAGGCAAGTGAAATCCAAATTGAACTTAACAGGGCAAATTATGAAGTCCTTTGGACAACGGGAAGTCCAACACCCACCACGTTGGGCTTGGAGCTGCTGAGTTTGGATCAATGACAGATCTGACCCAAAGGTTTGTCCTTCTCCACATTGGAGAATGAAGGTGCACATCCTCCTCTCTTGGTGGCCACCATTATGTAGCTCAATATTTGCTTTTTACATTCAGGGGAGGAGAGGAGAAAAAGAGCTAATCTCACAAAGGTTCACCCCACCCTCTGCTTGGCTTCTCTTCCTTGGCCAGCCTTCCCAGCAGCAGCTGGCTGCCTGTTTTTCTTCTGCAATTGTGTTCGTGACATTTCCTGCAAGTAGGTTTTCCTGAAGGTTTCCAGCAGTCCTTTCAGCTCACATCCCCCTTTTTTTGGCCTCCTCACCCACTAAACATGGCTTGTTCCTAGTTCCCAGCAAGTGCCTCATCCCCATCACACATCCATGCACATTGTCTGTAAGCTCTCCAGGCACACACTGGATTTCTGGGATTTGCTTGTGATTCACTGGGAGTAAGCAGTTACTGTAAGGGATGCTGAACAGCCATGATGTAAATAGACACAGTCATGGAATTGTTAAGGTTGGAAAAGACCTCCAAGGTCATCGAGTCCAACCGGCCCCTCCTCAAGGTCCCTGCTCCATTAGACAGACACAGACTTTGCCCTGTTTCTTGGTGCCAAGAGGTTGCTTTTCTCTTTTAATGTAATCTTTTCTTTGAGAAGCTGCATGTGGCCCTCTCCATGCAGAAGGACTGATATGAAGAATGCAGATGAGGGAGACCTCATGCACAGATCCTGGATTTTTTAGTGTGCTGGCACTTTCCCTCTCCACACTTCTGAATGCTTCATAAACTGTCCTTTCACAGGCTTTTATAAACACTCAAGTGACTTAATCTTTTAGTGTAAAAGTCTACTTGTATTTTAAGCTTTCTGTTATCAATGTCATTAAATCAATATCCCCAGTTCTACAGGATTCAAGTCACATATAAGCTGTCACACACAGTTTAACTTAAGAAGTCCAGTATTTAGGTACAGTTAGTTCATTTTTCATAGATTAGAGAGTACTTTGAAGTAGAGCTGCTGAAGATCAGAAGGAGTTTATTCCTCTGTAGCCACTTTCTTATATGTTGGGGTCTTTCTAATCTAATGACAGTTTTGTTGCAGAACTTCAGTGAAGTTTGAGAAGAGGAGCATTTTATGCAGTTATCATAAATGGCACTGGAAAGCCTTGTGAAGACTGTGTCATGGGTGATAAAACATGGGACATATTCTTTAAGAGAAATAAAAAGGCAGATTAGTATGGGCTCTTCTTGTCCATTTTTTAATCTATTAATCTATTTATTTATTATTATTATTTATCTGTTTTTTCCATCTGGGTACACACACAATTCTGGACAGGTCAGAGGCTGTGTGGCCTCACTTGGTGCAGTTCACTGGATAATGAGTGACATCTGTGTTTAGAGTTGAGATGGAGAAAAACAATAATTTGTCCCTTGCCAGAGATACATAATGAGAGTATAACATACATCTGGGATTTATTCTTGTAAAAAGGTACACAACTGCAATACCACATCTTCTTTCAACCTGACCCTGTGGTGCCCTTTCCATTTAGTGCATTAAGAAATCAGATTTATCTAGAGATATATTACAGATCAGAAATGACAGTTATTGTTACATCTTAGCTGTTATTACAGCAGATCTTTCCCCCTTTTCTCTTTTTTTTTTCTTAGGCACTGTTTGTTTGTCATAGAAGTGAAATAATTTGTAACACAAACTGACTGTAGATTCTTCCAATTGCTTACTTCAGGAAAACTATTGCCATGATGGACATGACATTATACAGCACACAGCAGTGCTCTTGCTGCTGGTGAAACAAAATGAACTCTGCCAACAAAACTCCAAATTAACTGAAGTTGCAGAAGGCAGTTTTCCAGCCACAGGTTATGGATCATTGGTCTTCTGCATTTTCTGAACTAGTGCTCTTCAAGATTACTCTGAGCAGTGAGAGGTGGGATTAATGAAGGAAGCAGGTTCTGAAAGACACTCTATTTTATGGGTGATTTGTGATTTGAAGGCATGCAGGACCTGCTGTTGTTAAAGGTGAGGCTGTGGCAGGGAGGGCACTTTCTGAAAGGAACCAGAAGGTTGAGATTGATGGATCTAGCAGGGAACACACCACTTTGATCCTGGTGCCTTGTACAAGGCCTTCACTGGGCAGCCAGTGTTGGGAAAGGCCTTTCATAGAATCATGGAATCATCAAGGTTGGAAGAGACCTTTAAGATCATCCAGTCCAACCAGCAGCACCCCTGCAACCACCAAACCACATCACTCAGATGCCTCTTAAACACCTCCTGGCCTGGTGACTCCACCACCTCCCTGGGCAATCTATTCCAGTGCCTGACCACCCTTTCACAGATGAGGAAGGACTCCTCTGTTTTTACCATTAATTAACATCACACACTTGGCTTTGCTGCACCTCCCTCACCACAGCTGCAAAGAAAGTGTCGTGAGCAGATTGGGGGTTATATCAGTGAGATATTTCCTGATGATGATGGTTGTGAATCTGCCCCATTATCCCTTCCCAGTGTGAGAATATGAGGTTTCAGTGTTTGCTTTGCTCCCCTGGTGGAAAAGGGTTAGAGGATGTCACCAGAATCCAAGGGGAAGGTAGAGACCCTCAGCAGGTGAGTGACAGCCCTTCCCCTCCACAAAGCACCTGACCTGCAACCTCAGCTCTTTCCCTGATGAGGGCTTGGGGAAAACAGGGTGAGGCAAAGAACTGGAAGTTTTGTCCAGGGATGTGCTTGAGCAGATAGGAAAATTCCATTTATGTTCTCCAGAGATGTGAGTTAAGAAGAAGTAAATGTCCTTATCTACAGCACAGCTACCTGAGGTGTGTGGAAATCCAGTGTGAATGTGTGGGTGCAGAAATGCTTTATCATCACCAGTGAGGAGGGAACTGTGCTGCCTTGTGCCTGACACTCCTTGTTGGGCTTGGGGGAGAGGAGAAGGAAAACTGCACAAGGAACTTCTTGTACTTGGTTGAGTTTCAGCACGACGAGGTGGTGGGGTTTTCTCCCTTCTTTCTCCAAAACATGACTTGGTTATCTACCTCCAAAGCCAGACTTGATTATCTTTTAGCTTGACAGCAGAATTGTGTTGCAATAATCCCAGAGCTGTTATTTCACCAGTGATTTGTTTATATTGAAGACTCTTGTAATTAAAAAAATTGCCATAGGGTAGGGTCCCCACAATGTGGACTTCGGGGATTTATGTTGAACAAATCCTGGAAATCCTCTAGTTTGCATATTTTTTCTGTAATAAAACTATTACTTCAGTCCAATATAATTTGAATTATTTTGTCATCAAGCTGGTGTAACAGAGTGGAGAATGGGCTCTCAAAATCTCAATATAGGAGATTGAGTTAGTTGCTAAATCTGTTTACAGAAGATAGAAATTATGTCATTATAATGCTGAGGTGTGTTAAAATAAAATCTTGAATTATGGCACTCCTCTTTCAGTTTGATTGCATGCTTTAAAATAATTGCTATTGTGGAAAGAAAATGTCTGTGAGTTGGTCATTGTAATGCACATATTTCAGTGTTATTAATCCTAAAATGTGACATTTTTATTACCCAGTGAGAACAAACTATGAACAAACCCCAAAGAAGCCAAATATATGCCAAAGAATAATGCCCCAATCCTCCAAAAATTAACACATGTATTTGTGTTTCTACACAATAAATAATCCTGGTTTGCTATTTACTTAAATGGGACAGAGATTTCTCACTCAAAGTGGCGTGAGATTAATCCCAGTGTGTAAAATTAAGACTGAATACCAGCCTTTGCCTGTTTGGAGCCCGTGTTAAAGCTACGAGGACTGAACAATTTTGCTGTCAGTTGTGGTGTGTTAATCTAGAAAAAGCCTCTTGAAATTATTACAGCATTGAGAATTTAAAGGAATTGAATAGCAGAATTTAGTCCTTTTTAAACATTCCCTGAGGGTTTGTGTTTTTTTCTTGCAGACACCCAGACAATACAGCCAAGCACTAAATAAGAGTAACAGAGTTCATCTTTACTGTGCATTTCTGGACTATAGGTATGTTACATAATTTCAAAATCTTTAACTTGCTTTAATTAAATTACACTTGGTTTGTGATGCTGTGTATTACCTGTATCCTTCTCATTTCCCTTCATTTGTGGAAATAGTTAAAGAAATGGAACCACTGGTTTAGACAAAACACAGTCTGATAGTGGCTTCTTACCATAAATAGGAGACTTGTTATTCACAGACCCTGGATCAGGTGGGTAGTTGGGAGACTGAAAAGATTTTGTGATCAAAACTGCAGAGTGATACAAATCGTGCTTATCTGGGTTTGTGAGTGTGTCCACTTGGGCAGATGCTTGGATGTTTTATGATGGCAAACCTCCAGCTCAGCCCTTGTTTTCACTGGACCTGTGCCTGTGTCACAACGCCGTGTGAGATCAGCATTTCAGAGCTGTGAATTTTGGCCAATGCATGGCATGGATAAATATGATAAATATTACATCCCTGAATGCAAATTAGAATTAAAGGGAAACAAATATTGCCTCAAATTTCAGTTGGAAAATAAGAGCTATGGAAAAGAACCAGTTTTTTCTTTTTCTTTTTTTTTTTTTAGCTCTGAATACATTTCATCTTGTTTTGATTTTGAAACATGCTGCTCTTACTGAATTAATTGAGAATTAATACAAATACTGAATTTTGAATTTGATGGGGATTAACAGTTTTTGAGCCGTAACAGTATAAACCTAATTTATGTAGCAACAGCCCGTGATGCTGTGATCCCTCCTACCAGCTTGCACTTGGGAAGGTCACTGTAATTGTTTTATTGAAGTTTTGTTTCAAGTGTGTTGAACTGTCCCAGCTGTTGGCAGTTACCCGTTGTTATGGTTACTCACAAATTACAATAAATTAGAAACAGATTTTACTGCAGCAAATTAATGTGGTTGTGGCATTGTTCCTGTGCTGCTCCCCACTGGGGCTTGGGCCCCTGAGGCTTTGCCTCGGGGTAGAAACTTAAATATGAAATCTGTCCTTCCAAATGAGTTTCATTTGTGTCAAGATGGTCTTATTCCCTAGTGCGTGGTAGTTAAAGAATAAGAAATTAGTTTCTGACCTACAACAGACTCTCTTTGAGAACTCAAGGAGGTCTTGAAGGACAGGTGAGGTAATACCAATCTTTAAAATAAGCACTGCGACAATGCAGATCACTCAGTGTAGCTGCAGGACTCAGAATAATATCAAAAGTAACAAATAGTGAAGATCAGGCAGTTTGGGTGGGTGACCTCTGGTTCCTGAGCCCACGGAGCACCCACAGACCTGGGCCTGTGGCTTTTATGTCCCCACCCCACTTCATGACTGTGATAGCACAGGGAATTCTGGTTTTCCTTGTCTCCAAGAAGAGGCAGACTCGTGAGCAACTCCCAGACCTGGGAGCAGGTCCCACAGCCTGCCCAGCCACACCCTCAGTGGAGCAGGAGCTGCTGTTGCTGCCCCTGAGGGTGATGTGACAAAACCCAAATGATGGGTCACTGGAAATCATGCTCAGTCAGCCTGAATTACTTCTTTTGACAGGATGAGTGGGACAGGGGCAGGCAGCAGATAAGACACACTAACTTTTTTGGGTTTTGCAAGATTATTGACTTGTCTGGTGCTACAGAATACAGAAATTTGGATCAAGGTGAAATGCCATAAATGAGATGCACAATATAAAGAAAAAAATGTAGTTATCATACCTTGACTATAAAACTGGGAAGAAATCTCTAGAAACATTCACATAGGGGACTCATCTGTGCCTTGTCCAGGTCAATATTTTCCTTAACTACTTCCACGATGGAATTGAGAAGACACTAGCAGTGTTTGTGGATGCTCTAGCCTGAGATGGCATTCCAAACTTTTCATCTCCTATACAGTACAATGCATGTCAAACTAACCTGCAGAAGATGCATTTTGCTAAGAGACTGTGTTCCATTTTTTGTGTGCTTTGCAGCAATGGAGCTGGTGTTTGGTCTAACGAAGGTTGTGTGCGTGAGAGTGGGGACCTCAACTACTCGGTGTGTCTCTGTAACCACCTCACTAACTTCGCCATTCTGATGCAAGTGGTGCCTCTGAAGGTGAGATTAAGCAAAGGAATAAATCTGCCTGTTAAAAATGAAGCATAAATACATCACTTTCCTCCTCATGCCTCATCAGTAAGTGATTAGAACTGGGCTCATTTATGCCCGACTCAGATTTATTCCACATCTGGTGGGATGTTTTAATACTTCTGGACTATATTTATGTTTTAAAACTTTTGGGAACTGAAATGAAACATACCTGTGGTAGGTCAGAATTCTCTTTACCTTGTTCTAGGTGTTTGGGCATGATTTCTTAAAGTTCTAGGCAGGAAAAGCACTAGAGCACATTGTACAGGTGACCTCGGCTTTTATGACTTGTTTTCAAGACAGAGGCAGCTGAGATGTGGCTGTTTAGGGTTTTGGTAACTTGACTTGTGGAATATGACCATCTGAGCTCGAACTCCATGTGAAGTGAGCTCTGCTGCCAGCTGGCCCCTGCTCTCATCTCTGCCAGCTTTCCAAGTGTCTCCCTGCTGCTGCTTCTTCACTTTGTTGCCAAGCAGGGGCTTGTGTAGAAGGAGCATCTGAAGAAACCAGTGCTTTAGAGTTGAGAGTGAACCCCTTATGTATAGTTTTCTCTATGTTCAGTTCCTTTGTCCAGGGAGTTGGCAAGGAATCATCTCTTCCTCTGGAACATGACTCTTTCTCTCTTTACCCAGGACCTTTGCTTGCTATTCACACTAGTCACTGGTTTCAGATGAAACTTTGATGGCAAACACGTTTTTCACACTAGACATGGTCTTCTCTTTATGGTACAGAGTGTCTGCTCCTGACAGGTGAAGTGCTGCTCCTGCTGAAGGACTCCCTCTCCAAAACTCAGCAGCAGGCAAGGTCAGCCCCATCCTGAATCTTAGCAATCAGACAACCAGCACTGCCATGAGCATGAGGAATGTTTTCACCACTTTTTTTAGGTGTGCTTCTGTCAGGGAGGATCCAGTGGAGACAGTAATGAAGCTCTGCTCCGAGCAACCCTCAGTTAATAAATGATGAACATGTAATATAAATAATTTACAAACCGCACATTTAAAGAAGCGTATACAAATTGTCTGTCAAATTTATACTCTCTGGCACATTCTCAGTTTTCTGCAGACACCATCCCAATAATATAAATTACCAGGCTGAAGAGCTTCAGGAAGACTCCCACTGCCACAGCTATCCCATGGCCATGTCTGAGGCTCTGCTTAATTGATGGGTTTGCTCTCTTTTTAGGCAGCAGCTTTGCCAAAAAAGCACCTGCTGCAGGATGGTGAGGGCAGCACAGGTTCCTGCAGATGCAGGGGTCAGCTTGCAGTGGAGTCTGAGCAGGGTTACACCTCTGAGCAGCACCAAAGTCTTTCCAAGGGCTGGCTCATCCCAGATTAGAAGCTGGGAGTTGGCTTCTTCGGGTCATCTGGGTTTTATCTAACTGTTATTATCTTTATTACTTGCAAAGCACCCAATGACTCCAGCTGCTTTCCAAGTATAATTTTTCTAGGAGCTCTTCATACTGATAATAAAATGCAGCTTTGCCTGAAGACCTCCAACCTTGTGAGACAAAAGTATCCTGTGCAAAAATGCACTGTTATTAACCCTTTTAAGGAGCAGCATACAGGGAATTAGCCAGGATTGAACGGGAACAGCCACCAATAAAAGGCCACTGCAAGAGTAGTTGACTTTTTACTGGGGAATAGTTGTGGAGGTCCAGCTTTCAAATAAACAGTCTTAAAATTGTGGTGATTAGTGGGACGCTGCAATAAGTTTCAGTATTTAGCAATATTGGTAATTGGAGAACAAAGAGATTTCATAACGAAGCCTTTGGAATTGAGTTTTCCTGAAGAGGTCTGAAATGTGTAAGAAGGAAAGGCTGGATGTGAATGAACATTCAAGTTTGTCAAGTCTTTTAATGGTTCCATTTTCAATATTTCCTCTCTCCTTAAATTTTTGGTCTAATGCATTTCCATCCACCCGAATTTGTGTGGAATATTTTTGCATTGTTTTTCCCTCCTTTTGTGATAAAAAGAAAATCTCATCCCAAATCTTTGTCCAGGACATACTCTTTAAATTGACCATTTATGTTTAACTTGTGGTATTAATATTTTAACTAGTGAAAAAAAGTGTTATCTTCGTTGTGTAATTGGCATGAAGCTGAGAGTCACACAAAGACAGGCTTCCTGGCTTTTGAGCTGTGCAAGAAGACTGTGCTCAATTACAAATTCCTGAAACATTCCCTAAGTATTTGCCTCAAATGTCTAAGCATTGGATCCTAGTGAATCAACTACACAATTGGAAACTCCTTTCAGGTGTCCTTGGAACCCTCTTAAGTAAATGTTACAATGCTGTGGATTTTAAGCACCTATTCATGTTATTCACCGTGTTCTGAAATTCATGAGCCAAGGTTCAAAGGGCCCATTTGAATCACCTCTTGGAATATTAGATTGTCAATGCTCTAAGAAATTGTTGCAGTGATGTTATATTTGATCTTGAACTTGTGTGCATTTTATTTTTCTTATCGTAAATGAAGTGCACAGATAACATGAGACAAGTAAAAGAGAGGGTAGGAGTATGCAATTGCCCACATTTGAACAGTTCTGTTTATGTAGCTATTATATATCTGTTGCCATATAAATAGAAATGAATGAAATTTTTCCATATGAACACTATTTTGGACAGAATGTTTTTTTTTCTTACAGAAAAGGGTCTGGTTTTCATAAAAAATGTAAATAAGTTGTTGGAAATGCATTGCCTGAAAACTGAAAAAAAAATAGCATTTTTCATCAAATGCTATATTTTGGTACCAAAAAAGTGAATTCATTTTTCATGGGAATTCTTTGAGTGTTTTACATTTCCATTCTCCTATGGAAAGTATAATTTCCCTTTCTCTCCATCATACTGATAAATGCAGCTCTCAAGGGGGAGCAGCAAGAGTCAGACATCCTCTCCAAGGGCACCAGAATGGCCTTTAATGCAGCAGTAAAACCAGGTATAAATAGTTCTACCACTCCTTGCAGAAAGTCAGGCAGCTGCACAGAAAACAATTAACAAAATGAAAAAGAGGAATATTGACAGTTGTAAAGGGTTGTAATACAGACCAGCACACACACAGCAGCTTCAGAGCTGGGAGAACATCCCCAGGGAGAGCACTGTTGGTGTGGAAATCCATGAACTCTTGAGACCAGCTCAGTGTGATAAGTGTTCTCTCTCAGCTCCTTTTCATATTGATTTTCTTTATGCTCAGGAAAAAAAAAAGAAAAAAGAAAAAAAAGGCATAATCATTCCATTAATGAGGCATTGCAGTTATTTAGAGTTTGCTGTTCCATGGCATCCTCAGGGAGGGCAGGCACAGTCAAGGTGTCTCTAAGCAACAAACACCAACAATGAGTGACCTTCCTCAGAAGTGCCTCCTCTGCCCCAGGAATGGGTGTGGTGAGCATTTCTAATGACCACAGGGCTGAGCTGGTACGGGAACGGGAACTGTTTGTCGAGGATGGTGACTTTTTCTTCCCAGCTATGTTAAATTCCAGCAAGAATCTCCTTGCTTAACTCCTTCTCTTTGTCAAAGCTACCTCTTCCCACTTGCAGAACCACAGCACGATCCTGACCTGCTCACCCTCCCCCAGTGCCTCCCTTCCTGCTCCTTTTCCCACCTGCACCAATATCCAGCAGATCACTCTACATATTAACACATTTTGTGCATCTCTCATGCACATAAATCCCTTGCTATATTCCCAATATTTTTTATCACTGCAAGTTTGTTGTAAGATACAGAACTGTGCTAGTAATATATGCACCTGGCTCTGGGAGGAATTAAATTGTCTCACATGGATTTCATTTTGTTTCGGTGAGACACTCACAGGAAGAAAACTGTAGGATATCCTGCATCTGATGGTGCTTTCTCTTGAGTACTTGAAATGCTGTGAGCTGAGGGATGCTGAATTGTTAGATGTTTATGGCACAAAGTGTCAGGTGGGTCTAATTTCCAGGGAGCATAGAAATGCAAGAAAGTTCTTAGGAACAAACTGTGAGTTCTTGATTTTTCTTCTTGATCTTGACTCAAAATAGGTGAGATTATTTCAGTCACTGTTCTATTGTATGCCAGCTGGAAGTAATCTCCAGAGGCTGAAAATCTGCTGAGATGAAAAAGTGGTTTTATTCCAATATTCAGGGAAAGAAATTGAAAGAGAGCGGTCACAAAGAAAAAAATTTAAATTCTGGAATTTTAACTTAAATGGACAAAATGAACCTTCACTCTCATACCTGTGGGCTGTACACCAGGATATGTGAAGAAGGACTTTAAATGTTGTGAATTAGTTAAAACTGATCACAAATGTAGTTGAACACCACTCCAGATTTTATATTCATTTCAGCAAGAGCTTGAAAACCCTGGAGTCGTGGTGATTGTGAAAGAAGGGCATGAACAATGCTGCTGATGAGCTCGGGGTACATGTGTGATGTTGAGCTGCTTTCAGGGATGCAGGGGATTAGCAGTTGTAACAAGTTTATTTCGGGAATGAAATAACCATCTTGGAAAAACTTACAACCATGTGGTGCTCAGATGTCAGCCTGGCACTGACCTGTTAGCCTGCTGATGAATTGGCCCCCATGGAATGCTGGAATTATTTGTGTTTTATCACTCTGCTGTTATGTCTGTATCACGCCTGGCCCGAATTCTTGCTCGCTGAGATTCATTTGTCTTGTTGGTTTTCACTTGAGGAATTGTAACATTTATTTTGAATTTTGGAGATTGATGGTCGTGAGCTGGTTTAACCAAACAAATAAGTTGATTGAAGGTAAAATGTGACCAAAGACTAGTGGAATGTTTCTGAAGGGACGTGTTCAGCCCTTCATTGTTTTCGTGGAGTTGCATGGATGTAATTAAGGTCACCACACAATCAGTGTTTGGAAGCTTGGTTGAGAACTCTTTTCACAACTCTGATCAAGTCAGTAAGATGGAGAATTATTCAACTGCATCTTCCCAACAAGTGTCAGTGGGATGTTCAGAGTAGGTGTGATATTGGCTG